CAGACGTCTGTCTCTATAAATCATCACAAAGGGGCGGAGGATAGCATGTCCAAGGATTACAAGCTCTTGGAAATTTAAGAGTATGAAATTATTTTTCAAGGAGTAAGTTACACATAAAGTAATAATAGAATCTGTCCAATAAAAGAGAAGAAAACAAAGCATCAGAAGGAGAACACTTTGAGCAGCTTTGATCTCAGGGGGCATGGTGCAGAGGTGCTTGGTGTTCTGCAGGTAGAGTGCATGCTTATGATGTTGGTGGAGAAGGAACACCATGTAGCCACTGGCCATGCCTAGGAGAATCAGAAAAAGGGCATCATGAAGGGCCATGACACTGAGAATAAACCATCGTGTTACCTGGCTTTGTGACTGAACATAACAATAGTAATGATTTTCAATCATGTGTGATCCATTTCTGCTGCTGCTTGTGATGACGTGGAGTAAGTTCATGTTTATCAAGGAGTTGAGCACCCAGAATAAAAGCAGACAGAGAAGTATGTGCCGAGCTGCCTTTGGCTGGTGCCGCCCCCACACTGAGGCCCTGGGGCTGATGGTGATGGCCTGGACAACTGTGAGGAGGCTGTAGGTGCACATAGATAGGCCCTGAGTCACCCTGCTCAGGTAAATAACCATCTTACAGCCCGTGTCATGTAGGAAGTTTTTCACACCAAAAGCTACCATCATGTGGTGCATTGCTTTGGTCAAAATCATTATTACATTTGTAAAAGTCAAGTGGATGAGGATCACATGTACAGGTTTTTTCTCAGCATCCAAAAAGTAAATCCACATGTAATTCACAAAGACAGAAAGGTTCCCTTCAGGTAAATAACCATCTTACAGCCCGTGTCATGTAGGAAGTTTTTCACACCAAAAGCTACCATCATGTGGTGCATTGCTTTGGTCAAAATCATTATTACATTTGTAAAAGTCAAGTGGATGAGGATCACATGTACAGGTTTTTTCTCAGCATCCAAAAAGTAAATCCACATGTAATTCACAAAGACAGAAAGGTTCCCTACCATGCCAAGTCCAGGCAGAAGGAGAAATATTGTTCCCTTGGCAATATTCATAATTATTCTTTACCTCCTGTGGAGAAAAACATTGGGTTCATCACAGAAGTTCTGAGGACTGCACCAGTCATGAGGATGTGTACCTGCCAAGGTAGTCTGTCCACAAGGGTTCTACGGGGAGTGATGTAAGGTGACCTGAGGGTCACGACACAGCCAGTCAGCAAGGTCTGGTAAAAGAACTCTATCCTTTTCCCTGTGGCAGTCTACCTGGTCATCTATGCCACCTCAAGTGCCATATTCAGTATGAATACAAAATTGAAATTTTTAAAGCAGATTTCATTGTCTAAGAATCGTATCAACAAAATGAATTTCTTATTCAACACTTTATACATACCATGTCCGCATTTTAGGAATTATTTATTTATGAGAAAGCCTTATTTATTTATTTATTATTATGATTTTAATTTGGCAAGAGAAAGTGAAAGAGTGGGAAAGTGTGAAGACAAGACACAAGGATTGACATTTGAACCGTGGTGGACCATATGAGAGACCAGAACCTTAACAACCACAACCAACTTGTAGCCTTATTCCATCTGTTTCATCTCAATATGCTCTAAGTTGAAATAAAAATTTTCCATACCAGAATTACACCCTGTGTTTTCTGTTTTGTTTGAAGATGTTAATATCAGTCAATTCCCAAAACCTGAATATACCCTCAATGTGCCTCCTGGTCTCATTCCCAGATTCAGACATGTTTAATATACTGATGTTCCATTCTGTTTAATGCCTCTTAAAACTGACCATATTTCATGTTGGTGGTGTCTTTCTTCTGGTCAGCGTGTCCCAGCTCTCTCATCTGATGAGTGTAACAGTCCCTGGTTTGTTCCCACTTCTAATGTTTACTCTCTGGCACATTCACCATCACATTTCCAGAGCCTCTGTCTTATCTGAAATCAATTCTGTGACTTTACTAAAAAATTTTCAATGTATTGCCTTGTACTCAGACTTGTGGTGGACTTAATAGCGGTCTTGGTAGGATCCAGGCTATTGAAGCCTAATGATCCAAGGCCCATCAACACTGGCCTGTGTTAGGAATCAGCTCCACCGATTTGGGGCAGCCAGGCAGAACCAGCCCCAAATCGGGAATGGTGCTGGGCACAGGCTTCCTGGGAGTGGGCATCCTAGGGCCAGGAGGGGCTCTGTGGGCAGGTGTGGACAGTTCAGGGTGGGTCGAGTAGAGGAAGATGGGTAACCTGAAATTAGG